TGTGCAAGTTACGATGCTGTACTCTGTAACTGAACTGTAAAAATAAAACAGATAAAGGATCTAAACTCACTTTGATTTCCGCTTGCACCACTTCAGGGTGACTCAAATTTGAGCCCTTTAAATTTCTCAACGCAATTCCAGATACTACTATAGTTTCAAAAGAAGATAAGAAGCTTTTTATTTAATTACAGTCCCTGCGCGGACACTGTAACAGCTGGATGTTTGACTTAATTGGGGACAGAGCTTTTTCTACTCTACACAGCTTTTTTACGCTGCCACACCATCTGGACCAGAATACTGAGAATCATGGGATCATTTTTTAATCAAACACTCGATCATAAATGTTTATTCCATTTACATAATTGTTAATTGTTTGTGGCTGTCTAGTCTGTTGTTTAATGAGCAATGAACTTGGTCTGTACGGAATTGGAAATAGGAACAGATCTAACCACTTGGACTAATCAAAGCAAATTGTAGCCAGACAGTCATGACAAAACCTGGACAAGCCAACTGCACACCTCCCAGCAGAGGAGGCAGAGCAGGTCCTATCGACATTCCAGCAGCAGACAGAAAACCACTCACACAGCTGTACAGTTCCATCTTTGAGGAACTGGTGTCAAATTCAGCCCTATGGAAATGAACCTGCATAGCTACCAAGTCAGTCTGGGCTGTGACATGAACAAATCTGTCACCACGAACAATTATGGTATGTCCTAAAACCAAACATTGTTGTGGCAGCAGAACACACACCACAAAACACTTCCCAATGTAAAACAAGACAACCCCCTGTGTGGAATTAATGGCAGAGAGAAGTGGGCTGTCTTTGCCATGTCTGAAATCCCTTGTGGCTCAACATCAATGTAATGGCTGCGCTGGGTCAGTCTGGGGCTATACTGTCTGCTACAGCAATTAGAGGCTCTGTACTTTTGGGCAAACAGAGGTCATTAACAACAGTGGTCACTGTGGAGGGAAACCAAGACCACCCCAGACTTGACGCTGTCATGGCTTATTTGCACTGCAGATAAACACAAAATATAAGGGACAGAAATTGAGATGCTATTTTTAAACCAGGCCAATGTGCTTGTGAGTGTGCAGCTTCAGTAGCGCTTGATTGGTTCAGGGAACCAGATAGCATAAACGAACACCAATCCAGAACAGGCATCAACAGCTGCTACACCTTTAGGAATAAAATAAAACTTTCTTTTTTAAGACTTAGGGAAATGCCCCTCCCATACACGCGCGCACACACCTTTGAACCCAATAAATATAAACCCTTCTCGGTGCATTCCCATGACTCTGATCTATTGGGCAGGTTTACACAGGTTTCAATTTGAGTCGACCAAACCTCCTCCGCCAGAAAGACTTCACAAAACATTTAACAAGCTCTTCGAACAAGTTGAAAAGATGTAAATTTTCCAATTGACCTGTTTTTAATTACCAGACTGGCACATCTGGTAATGACAGGGCAGATAGGACTGGTGACACTGTAGAAAGTGGAAGGACTTAAGACAGTTAGGGACTACTATCAAATCTCTGGCTTCAACCTAGAAACAAACAAACAAAAACACACAGAGACACAACAACACTGCTCCTTAGCTCCCTGGGGTGTTAGTGTGCAAGTGAAAGCAGAGATAACAGAGTTCTGATTAAATGCTGATAAAAAAAAACAAACATTTTTTGTATAAAAGAAACACAGACTGAGTGTTGAGATAGGGGTAAGAGAAGGACGCACCCTTCCTCACGGCAGTGTGGCTGACAGTGCCTGTATCACATTGCTACTGTGTTGATTTCACTTGGGCAAACTACTTTAAGGACACCAACGCCACTGACTTCTGTGAGATGTTTATCACATGTAAAAGTAAAAAATATTCTGAAAGCCACCAGCAGAATTAAATCGTCCTCAGCACAAATACTTTCACATTTGTTTGGTTTCACTCCCTGCACAGTCTAATCTATTATACGGTGTGAAACCAGGGCTCCAGACAGGCTTGTGGGCCCCTCATGTGACAGACCCTGCCAGCTGGACAAACCCATCATCATGCCCTGCGTGATGAGGCCAACCTCCCCCGCCCCCCTACACTCCAGTGTTAACATTAGAATAACGCAACCAACCACTCAGGTGGAACCGTTTTCTCCAGAAAAATTCTTAAAAGTAATCAATATCTTTGGTGGATTGTACCAAATGTGTACCGAGTACTGGTGACATGATGTCTGGGTGCAGACGATGATTCATTTGTGTAAAGCACAAGAAGCAGTCTTTTCAAAATGACATTGACGACTGAGTGTTTATTCTGGCACACATACAAAATGAATGGTGCCATTTTATAATGTGGTTTGTATGTCTCTCAGCAAGTTGTCGCAACATCCACGGCCGGAAAAACAAGTCTTCAAAACACACAAGTACTCAGAGTATACTTCTGAGTACTTGGCTAGTTAGGCTGAGTGTACTTCTGAGTACTTGGCTAGTTAGGCTACTACCAACAGCCATATTCATTTTTGTTTGTTACCAACAAGACAACTATTTTGTTAGAGGGAGACAAGAGCAGAAAGCAGTTAGTAAAAATGTGTGCATAATATTTTTTTTTTCGTTATAAATTGTTTCTGCGACATCTGCATCCTTACTCACTTGTGTTAATGTACAACAATTCGTATCACTTTGCTTTTGGAAATTTCATTAATGTTCTGAGACAGTATTCTGTCTGTCTTGTCTGGATCTGACGGTTACTGATGTAGCCTCAAATTGAATTAAGATGGTGTTCGGACACTGAACTCATTGCTCTCATTTTTTAGATTTCCTGTAAAACATTTGCTGGGAATAAATTCACTTTTGAGGTCTCCTTTTTTTACTCAATGTCTAATTCAAAAGCATTGCTATAATAGGGTTTAATTCCTAAGTGAAATGTTGGCACAACAAAATCAGAACGGTTAAACAAAAAATTTCCAGTAAAAAGTTTAGCGTAAAACGACGCAAGAAATGACACTGCACAAATTGTGAGCTATCAATATGCAGTGGTTTGAGAGCAGCAGAAGTGCTTCTTTTTTAAAGTCAGAATTAATAGACCAATAAATACAGAAAAGTGAAATCACTTGTGCTGCCATTATTTTATATTAAAAAAAAAAACACGTGTATAGAGGGTATTTAAATTGATGTTTAATGTGGCCTCACTAAAGCAAGTCCACATATTACTGTTTCTTCATCTCTAGTGAATTTGACCAGACTTTCACCAAACTAATAGAAGACATTTTCATGCAGACTCAAGTTCCAGATTTACTTTGCTAAATGCAGAATCTGGATGTCAGACAAATATTCAGAGATGAATAGACATGCTGTTGAGCCCAACACTCAAAAAGCTTTTGTCATGTCGAGACAGAGGCGTAGAGCTGGGTATCAGCTGCTCCAACAAGAGGGTCCAGACTGAAACGGCCCCATAACAGGCACCTCAAAAGACCCCACTTGCCACATTTCCATCACAATGAACCCAGACTTCAACTCTGACTTCTGTCTGGGATGGCTGAAAGCACGGCTGCTGTCGCCCTATGCCAGCAGCCTTCGCTTTCTGCTAGAGACTAGTGTGGAAACCTTTCAGTCTTTACAAATACTGAGAAAGTGAGTAGCAGCCAGTGTTTACTCTCAAAGACGCATTTCATGAACACAGTTAGTTGGACCCTTAGTTCAGAGGCTCTGCAGACCAGCACCCACAAACAGTGCCCATTTTGTAACTGACCACATTTCAGTTGCCAGCTACTATTATACAATCCTGGACACAAGCAATACACTGATGAACCCAGGAGGACAGAGCACCCAAAAGACCGTTCGGCGCGGGTGTCCCAAAACTGTCATACCTATGGAACCAGGTTAAATCTCTATGTATGGGACGGACAGTGGCGCCTAAACTGTGTTACCATGGTGGAAATATACACAACTATCTCTTAGCAATGTGTGAGACATTGTATGACCTCGAGACAGAGAGTCTAGCATATAAATAACTTCTAAAATCTGTTTAGCGATTGTAACACTGATTAGAGTAATTATCTGTCTGTCTGTTGTGTCCATGGCATTTAACAGCAATGCGGACGTCATGTTTGTGCATGCACGTCCAGTATATTTCATTGTTTACTTGTAATGTACCATGTTATTCTAGCCCAGCACAGCTAAATGAATTCTGTCAGGTTTAGGGATTAGTTACACTCGTGGTAATTGTTCAGTTGGTCACCTAATATCATGGGTAGTTTAGTTTAACAGTCACCTTCTCAAAACAAAATTCTATATTTCAAAACCACTGCACAAATTTTACAGGTGACCTGTGGCTGAAGAATGACGACCCGTTTCCATTCAAGATCCTGACAAAAGACCCTTAACATTTAAATTCCCTTAATAATGCATAAAATAATTGTCACCTTGTGTAACAAAGTTGTTCTGTTATGGGTTGGTGCAAATCTGACCCTCACAATTGTATGATGTGACCCACCTGTGTGTCACGACCCACTGTTTAAAAAACACCGGTTTGGCAAATATACGTTCGAGCACAGACTTCAGGTTAAGATGAGCACTTAAAAGTATACAGTGGTACAGACTTCACTACAAACCGGTGAAAATACTGCTGAATTATTCGGAAGCATATTCTTTTTTTTTTAATCATAAACTTTACAGTCTTGCCGGTGAATGCTAACAGACGTTAGCTGGCGCCCTCAAACACAGTCCCACCATGTTGTTGTTGTGGTTTAGCTACTTGCTCTGTGTTCCAGTGCCAGGTTTTAACAGGTCGCGTTTGAACAGTTGAAATTTAAAACAAATCACAATAACACTGCGAAAAAGATGTAAAAAAAGTGTGACTTTTGGTTCGGGCTCTATCCTGGCTACACCGGACTAGCCCGGAATCCCTGTGATATACAGGGGCGCCATGGCGATGAGGGACAACAGGCGATGCCCGGTCCAGGAAAACACACATAGGAAGACAAAGCCACCGAAGCGACGGTTCTGCCGCTCGGCTCAAACTTACCGTGACCGACGGCCACGGAGGCCAGCAGGACCAGCAAGGGCAGGAGGAACCGTTTCACTGCCATGTCTTCCGAATTCCCATGTCTCGGCGATGAAACGCGTCCTCAGTGTGTCGTTATCAACACGGGCAGAGCTGAAACACAACCACAGTCTGGCTGAGTGACCGCACACACACTAACACACGAACACACTCGCAGAGGCAGATACTCACTCACACGCCAGCCAGATCTATGACGTATTTAAAGGGGCGTGTGTGTGTGTGTCTGGGTCTGTGTGTTTTTGTTTGCTCTTTCAGACTTTTTCTGCTTTAAACACTGGACCAAAGCCCGGTCCTGTTTTTTCAGGCTGTGGTCAGAGTAAGTGTGGGTTAACATGTAAATTGCGGTAAGTTTAAAGCAGTGGTTCTCAAATGGTCCAACCCATGTTGGTCAGAAAACCCGCAATTTTCCCAAGACAAGAAGTCGCGACCCGTACCTTTAAAAAACTTATATATGTATATAAATATGTATATAGAATATGAAGTACACAGTTAGATTTAACATAAATTGTGGCCATTTGTGGAGGCCAAAACCTACCCTCGATTGAATGGAAACGATACCGTGACTAAAGCTGTGACTCAGATGCATCATTTCCTAAAATGTTGAAATTTTGTTGGTAAAAATACTATTTATTTTGTGTAAACCTGGGGAAAAAACTTTATTATTCAAGTCAAAATTCAAGGTTCATGTTCTATACTTTGTCATATAGAATCAATTAATTACAACAGTGTTTTAATATGTATAATAAATCAAGAAGTAAGTTTAAGTTTCTTTTAAGAAGAAGAAATGCACATTTACAGAAACAACAAAATGTGACCTCTGTAAATCCAATCTGAATATTCTGATTCACAACACACCTTTTGTTTCTCTGAGTTTTGCTTTACTGTTTGGACAATTAACACCCACTGTGGTAACTGTCTGGCAGTCTGTTGTCTTCTGATTTATCATAATAAAAGAAACACCGGCATGTACCAAAGTACTTACAGTCATCATTCAGGCCCACGCCCAGCTGTTTTGACCTCATTCAAGACCAAATTGAACATTGCCCAAAAAGTTTTCCTCAAATACATTTTTACATTTACTTGGATTAGAAGGCTTTTTTTTTGCTAATAAAAATACACATTATCATATATTACCCAAAAACCATGTTTCTTGTTCAGTGTTTGACATTTAAAACGACCCACAAAATATTCTCAAATATGGAAATTTAGTTTAAAAAGCTCAGTCAGCCAACTGTTTGTTTTTGTTCCAAATGTTACAGCTCGATCGGCCCACAGGGTGAGTTGTACTTTGATTGTAAATTGTTTATAATTATTTATTATTTGGTTCATTTTTCTGGCTTCAAATGGGCTTTCTGAATAATTTAAATTAGAATTTTGTTTTAATCACACATTTTTTATTGGTTTAGGGAATTTATTTGGCTCAATGTTGTTGGATTTTATTTATTTTTTTGCCCTCCATCTGTTTGTTGATCTAATAGCATGAAACACAAGAAGGTTACATCCAATTTCATCTGCCAAAATTAGCTGGTGTTTGATAATCCTATTCATGTTGTCTGTGTCTGCTCTGCCAAAAAAGGAGAATTTAATTTGGCATAAATGTCTCCAATTATTCATCTTTCACTTTCACACTTTCATGCTGAAGGCAGAAAAATATGTTTTTGGTGTTTTTTGCAATTCACCTAAATGTGATGAAGGTATTTTAAAACCATAAACAATCATAATGAAACAGTAACTCAGTAACCAGACACAGTCCACTTCATTAATGTACCTGGATAGTGATTTGAATGATGGTTATAACTCTCCAAACTCATCACCGTACATTCAAAAAGGCAGCATTAAACAGCAAGTTAACATCAGGAAAATGGCGTACGAAAAATAAGTCTGCCTGAGACCGTCTTTTTTGGCATCTGAATAAAAAAAAATATTACAACAAGATTTATGTTCCATCCTGGTGAGAAGGTGTAAAATATCAAAAGAAGTTTTATTCATGATCTTCCTCCTTCAGCTGAGTGCACCTGGACTGCCTTACTCCACTTCAGCTGTCAAGGATTGAAACTGTAGCTGCTGAGAGAATTATAGTCAGGCTGCACGGAGGTCCTTTGAGGACCCCTTATGTGCCTGCTTTATCACCTGTCCTTTTACTAGACATGAGTCCACCTATGTCTGCAGAACTCTCTTATGTGCTTCAACATCTGTCCATTGTCAGCCCCGTCCAGCTAGTCTTCCTCATCTCTTCTTCGAACAATTCCGTCAGCTGAACAACTCTGCCTGTGTCTATCAAAGCTATCTGGAAAGATCCCACTGTGAAAAAGAATACACAGTGGAGGGAAGTAGAGGGAGCAATGTGATGGGCTTCAGCACCCACAGGGGGCGGGGGGTTGGCCTCTCTGATACTGGAACAACCCCCCCCCCGCAGTGTTAAAAATAACCAGCTCTCTCTCCATCTGACTGACCAGACAGACTGGGGCTTTGGGGGAGTATTATCTCACTGGAGTTTGTTCAACAGCCCGGCAGACAGACAGTCACACGCACACATGCAAACACACACACACGTACACGCACACAAACATAAGTTTGAGCAACTATTAAAGATAAGACTCTGCCATGGCATTCATGTGATTGTGCATCCTAAGAATTTAGAAGACGGCATCTGAACACAGATGCATCTTCTCTAAAAATGAGATAATATTCATATTAAATGAAATATCAAACGGACCAGATTGAACCCCCGGTGGACAGATTTTGACCCGCCAACGGTATGTTTGACACCCCTCTCTTTTATAAGTCATAAAAACATTTAGTTATTTCAACCTAAATATTTATCTGAACTTTTTAGTTCATTCAAACATTAAAATTAGTTTTTTCTAGGATGGTGATGGTGGTGATTAAACATTTTGAGGGTTTTAGACAAAATGATCAATATTATATAAATTAAATGATTTGGAATAAAACAAAAATCTGAAAAAGTAAATGTTATTTCATAATGAATGATAAATAATCAAATGTTTTAAAATGTTTGTAAAAAATTGCAGTTAAAGTATTAATGCAGACTAATTCAGCACAAGCTATTGTTATATCCCAATAATGACACATCTATAACAACAACCTTAACTTTTAAATAACATGTTTCACTGATTCCTTTGTGTACTAAGAAATCCACTGAAATAAATTAATCTCACACAAGGAAAGGTTCTGTGTCTCCGTGTTTTCTGCGTTTCGTGCACATACAGGCAGGGGCGGCAGTAAATGAATCTTTCATCACACCTCGCTGTGATGATTAAAATGCGTCTGAACTTGTTTGTTTGATGACTGTCAGATGATGTCATGCAAATGGAAACAGGGTTGCAAAACATTTATGACTCTCCAATGCTGATCTGCACTGCTGCAATCAACGGGAAACACAGTTTGCCTGTCAACTAACGCCCCCTACCGAGCAACACTGGAACTGTGAATAATAGTGACTAATAAAGGAAAGACGAAAAGAATTAAAATATATATCTTTCTTTTTATTTCAACATATACAGTATTACATGTCTGTGGTGTTTAAACCATTGTTACGCAGTGAAGGTACATCAGACCTATAAAAATGTATACAAGTTGAAAAACTGTGTTTGATAAAAAATTATTATATAAAAATTATATCAGTTGAATATAATACGATAGAACGTCCCTTTAACAATTTATTTACAGTTAAGCCGAAGGTTTTCAAAAGCACAGCTTTAATACTGCCAGGAAATGTACATCTATATTGCTCAATGTGTTTAAGTGCAGATGATAAATGCAGATTTTACATCAGTGTTTGTGTTTGTGCCACACTAATGTGTTTTGGTTTAACTGTGGGAATCATATACTTCAAAAGTTTTCTCTGGCTTTGACTTTGACCAGAGACTTACATTTACACTGGTACAAGAGATCTGTGTTTTTCACCCAAGCTTCACAGTCTGAGTGATGATACGATAAGATAAGACTTTATTCATCCCACACCGGGGAAATTCAGTAAGAATGCAAGAATATCTGGTGGTTATATGTCTTCTCATTCCAGATCACACTTTGAATCACCGAAAAAAATCGGGACATTTCAAAATGAAGCAATGTGAAAAAAGCCCTTGGGTGTGAGACAATCTAAACAGCACCGTTCAAACCCATATGGTCCTAATGTAATTCACCGTCTGTGTGAATAATTAGCTCAAAATACGTTGATATGCACCTCATGCTCCCCGGAATGTGGTGTAAACATGCCTAACATTTCCGATCCTCTGGTCTAGACGTCCTGTTTGAGTTTTTCAATGCTGAAGTCACTGTCGTGGTCCAGTTTAGACAGCGTCTTCCTCACTCGCAGGGCTGTGAGGCGGGCTGGTGGGTTCTGGTACCAGCACTCCTTCATGATCTTCACGGTGGCCGAAAGGATCTGGACACAAAAATCATCAAACATTAAAAAACTGTCCATGAATTCATGCTATTAAAAAAAAAAAACAATTTCAGGACATGAGCAGCTGGTCCAAAGACGTACTCTCTCTCTGTAAGACATATTTGTGGCCCAGATCCCATGTGGTGCACAATGACGGAACCTAGGAAATCCTTGTCTAGAAAGTGACCCCCAAATAGTCACAAATCAGCCAAATGTAGACCACCAAATCACAAATATGTCTGATTTGGGCCCATATGGGCTGTATACTCTGCCAAGGAGCAGACCATATTGGATTTAATCTCAGTTGAAGACATTCGTCTTGGCTGGATAAAACAAACAACGTTCTCTTACTGGGTGGGAATGGAGCCTGTTGTGCAGACTGGGCCGCTGCTGGTCAACACACACCACCTTCTTCATCTCCTCAAAGCTGGGATCTGAGGGCACCAGGTCGAAGAAAGGAGGGCGATACTCTTCTACGATCCCTGAAAACAAGGCGGATTAAAGAGACTGTAAGTTAGAGCGCCGCTGTTTCTAATTTGGTTTAATGAAAATCCAATTACATCCCAACAACGTGACGGTGGGATTCACCGAACAAAAACGATCAAATGCACAAACGTAATAAATAAGTAAAAAATAAAACCTACAGGTCTTTAAAATAACTAAAACAAAAACGATCAAATGTACAAAAGGACAACTATTAAAACCTACAGGTCTTTAAAATAACTATAGACATTTTAGAACAGACACTTCTTGTCTGAAATGACAGAAATTGCTCACTTGGAAATTGAGATAATAAAAGGTGGGAGTTTGGGAAAGTTTATTTGACTCAGAAAAGAGAGCAGACAAAGCTATCAACTCCCCACAGACATCGAGAAACACACACGCACGCACATAACGTAACTCTAGTTTGAGTGCCTTTGTGCACTCAGTGTGCATGTGAACATGAGTGTGAATGTGTGCCTGAGTCTACAAATTGTGTGCATGGACATCTGGACTGTGTATAAGGGAGTGCTGACACCAGATAAGAATGTTTATAATTATTGCAGCGCTAATCATGGGAGAGGACGGAGGAGACGGACACAGACTGTGAAAACACTGTGGTGCTGAGAGACGTGGGTCCAACTGAGTCCTGTAAATGAATGTAAACAACATGAGGCAGACAGGAAAGAGACAGCGCGTTACAGCATTATATGTGCCACTCATCATACACACAAACTCTAGTACCAACACTGGAGATCATTTAAAAACATATTGACAATTAAAAAAAAGGTCAATTTTTAGTTGAATGAAAATGCATTATTGTTAAATTTGAAAAAATAAAAAGTAAAAAATAAAATAATAAATAAAAAAATTGCATGTATTGCTAGTTGACAAAAATGCTCCAATTTAGTGGTTCTCAAACTGTGGCATATGTCCAACATATGGTATGTGGGCTCCCTCTAGTGGTACGTTGGAGACACTGTCAAACACACTGAAAAAACGTTAATTAATGTGTGTGTGTGTAGCAGCAGATTCCAATATTACAGTTAGCTCAAATTTTAGAAATTATTTTCAAACCAAAGATTTTTTTCTTATTTTATATTTGTTATTTTAATACTTCCTTAAATGTGTAATTAATTAATTAAGTTATATTATTATGTGTATTCTTTGTCAATGTTGTGTTTTTAAGTTATATTATTGTGTGTATTCTTTGTCAATGTTGTGTTTTGCTCATTTATCTAACATTGTTGTCCTTTAATCTTTAATTCTTATTATCTTTTCAGAGATACAACTAATAATGTGCCGTGGCCTTATTACCATTGACAATTGTCCTGCGGGTAATTTCCCAGAAGACCAGCCCCAGGGCCCAGATATCTGTTTGCTTGTACGACTCAAAAACGTCAGTGCGAATGGTCTCGTCCAGCACCTCAGGGGCCATGTAACGTTTGGTCCCAACACGGGGGTTGTTGCCCACATCGATGTAGTCATGGGACTGAGAGTGGATCACAGCTAAACCTGAGGAGAGGAAAGACACGGAGCTTAGATAATGGACCCTAAAAGACATCCACATAAAAATGAAGGTGAAGGAGAACAACAACAACAACAACAACAACAACAACAACACTCACCTAAGTCAGCGATGCAGCACTGTCCATTCCTCTTCACCAAGATGTTTCTGCTTTTCAGGTCGCGGTGAGCGATAGCCGGTTTCTCCTGGGAGCTGACGATCTCAGTGTGGAGGTGAACCAAACCACAGGCCACAGACAGACACATCCTCAGGCAGCCTTCAGGCTCCACACTGCTGTACTGCAGGAAGTCGTAGAGGGAGCCCAGCTCATGAAAATGAGTGACGAGCCACAGCTGGGTGCTGGAGTTTTTAGATGTCATGTCAGAGGCTATGAAACCTAAAGACAGAAGACAGAAGACAGATTGTTGTTTAGATTTCCTCATTTTTTTTGGCTGCTGCTTTTAGGAATGACAGTGGTTCATTTTTTTTTTCAAGTGTGAAAAGAATCTACTGTCATACCAAGGATGTTGTCATGTCGCAGCTGGACAGTGTTGTAGATCTCGGTCTCTCGAAACCAGGACTGTTCGTCCCTGGAGGAGAAGATTTTTACAGCCACACTTTCACCCATCCAGGTTCCCCTCCACACCTCTCCATACCTGCCCTTACCTGGAGACACAGACACAGTTCTCACATCTGCAAACAGCTGAATACAACAGACAAACCCGGCAGAGGAATCAGCCTCACCAACACATTGAGCAAGTGAGATTTGTCTTGCCATGGTCCTTTGGACCAGGTAGGGCAGACCAGTCCCACTCCCTGACGTACAAAACTCATCATAGATATCCTGTCGAAAATGGAAAAAAAAAGGTTAGAAACCAGAAAATTCTTGGGTTCATTTAATTATTATTATTTTTTATCTTTGACTTTAAAAGCAACACGTACTCCATACGTGGGGTCATCTCCATTAGGAGCCTTGAGCATGGTGACATCACGGTCCTCAACATTTTTCAGTTTACAGTGCGTGCGTCGGAAACGCAGGAACAGGATTATGCCACAGACACTCGCAGCCATGAGAAGCAGCAGGAAAGACAGAGTGATCCACAGCTCTGGACGAACTAACTCTGGAGCTGTTGTTGTGGTCAGTCCTTCTGCACACACACACACACACATACATTTTAGGATAATGTCTTTGAAGCTGGACCTTCTTTTATTTTAGGACAGAATCACTGAATTTTAATTAAATAAATGAACTATAGCATAAATAGTAACAGCAACAATCATCATCATCATCATCATCATCATTATTATATATCAAAAGTAACGACACAAATAAGTTGCTTCATTAAGTGACCACAAGGGGGAACCAACTGCTACATGGAGAAAAATCAATGAACATGCAGCCTGTGCTGGAAGAAATAACTTTAATATATCAAGTCGGATTTGAAATAAAATTAAGCATTTCTGTGTTAATAAAAGTAGATTTAAATGAAAAATACTATATACTATCAATTTTACTTTTTACATCATTTTGCATAATCTTTCAAGATAACCTTTTTTCAGTTCCTCTGTGGAACGTTCTTGGGCTTTTAATTATTTCAAAACCTAATGATTATGTATAAAGTGCAATTAATTTAAAGACGTTTTTGTGGTCACCAACCAATATTTGGAGGAGGTGTGGCGAAGGCGTTGCACAGGTGTTCTCTGCAGCACGAGACAAAGAACCTCTTGAAGGAGCCTGAACACTGCTCTCTGGAGTTGCTGTTGGAGAAACAGCCCTTCTCCTCGTGGCCGTGAACCCAGGTGTAGAAACAGACGTCTCCTCTGCACGTGTCATTAGTGCACGTGCCTTTTTCATTCTCACAGCTGCACAGCAACTTCTCATCATCACCTGTTCCTGGAGAGACTGAGGACAAAACAGTGTTCAATTAAAAAAAAACATTAATACTAATAAGAATAATAAAAACAATTGATCTATTTAACCACCACCTTACCTGCGTTGGTAGCAGCG